GGCCAGCAGTCTAGCAGTGTGGCAGAAATCCACTTCCACATGTAAATACAATGCCTCACAAAGCATCTAACAGCCAAAGCTTTTACCACTACCCCCATGGTATAAAATATCCTAGCCTTCTCTTAATAGTGGGAGATTGGGTCAGAGACTGGGTCCCAGAGATTGGGTCCCAGAGAGAATAAAGCTGAGCCTTGAGTCTTGTGTACTGGCGACCTGATCCCCCGGAGGGCAGCACTCTCCGTTACCGACCCACGGACACACTAGCTTTCGCCGTCTCCGTACCCCTTCCCTGCATGGCTCAGTGGCCAGGAGCCTCACATCCTGAGGAAGGGTACACGGGTGAAATAGAGATGGGATTTCGGCTGAACAATGCTTCAGTAGCAGAGGAAGCTGCCAGCACCAGAGACGGGACCCAAAGCAGCCGCCGGGAAAAAGCCTGCGCGCCCTGTGCACCCTGTGCACCCTGCGCCCACAGAGAGCCCAGAGAGAGCGCAGTCTCCCCATACTGTTGTGACTCCCAGCCAGGAGTAAGTAGTTATCAACACCCAAGCTTATCTTCTGCAGGCAAGTGGCAGAGGTGCCAAAACCACAGGCTATGAGGAATTTCAGAGTTGAGCCAGGTAACAGAAGACCTTTGGGAAGGGGTCAGAGTAGGCCAGGAGTGGCACTGGTTGGCTCAGTCCCTGTTTGCCCATCCCTGTACACCTGGAAGCCCTGGTGTGAACATCCTGGAGTCTACTCTGTTCCTATTAGCCTGTTTTTAGTCATCCCAGATACAGAGGGTAACTACACACCATGAAATAATTCTATTCAAGTCCAGCTTGGTGAACCAATGATTTTATTGAGGTCACTTACAAGAGGATGGAGAGTTCAGGCAACTGCATTACCAAGAAGTCACCCAAATGGGTGACACCTATGGACTTTGGATCCCTGGGGTCCTCTGCACAACTTGCAGATGCCCCATGAATGAGTCTTCTCTCCCTACCCCAGCAAGAGTTTCCTACTTCTAGAATCTAGTGAGGGGTCTCTGTTGAGTCTTTTAAGAGTCCTGTTCCCTCTCTCCAGGAGGGACTGCTTCATTCCAAAGGAAACAACTGCTGAATAAGGTCACAAGACAATCTGAACTCAGTCGAGAATGAACAAACCCAAAAGGCAGAGAGTGGCTTACCCCATGCACTGTTGGCTGGGGCACAGGGCTCAGCAGAGTCCTTTGTGGAACAGGGGAGAGCACAGTTAGCTGGGCAATCTTCCACAGCAAGGCCCCTCCCAGAAGAATTAGCAGGAGCTGACCCAGCCTATATAGAGCCAGGCTCCCATCTCTGGAACCCAGGAGTAGATTGGAGAAGCCATGGATGAAGTTGTGGGTTGCCAAGGACACAGACACCATCATCAGACCAGAACCCAGGAAGATGACACATACCCACGTTTCTGTCTTGGACAAAAACAATTGACCGAACATCCTTTCTAGACTCCAAGAAACTAAGCATAGTCAACCCAAGACCAAAAGAAGCAGGAAATCCAGCGAAGTTGTGACGACGCAGGTGATCATGAGAACCTGAAACACCTGCAGACCCACTGGCCCTGCTATAGGAGAGTGGTATGCTGTGCACTCCTTATCTCCCAGGCTTTCAACGTAGCACATGCTCCACAGGCCCTTCCACATGCTGACAGCTTGACCCATGTCACCTTCTGGAAATTTTGTCACCCTGCACATGGGCAGCCCACAGCTCACCATGGTGTTCAGTCAGCCCAGCATGACCACAATGATGCTGACCATTATTGGTTTCTGCAGAGCCATGGCTCAGAATCTCTTGGATTCAGGACTGGAAGATGGTGGGGCCCAAGCTCAGGATCTGCAGGATTCTAAGACCTGAAGATGGACTTTGGCATTGTCCACAGAAAGCCTCTTCTTGCAAGGCTGAGAAACACTCAGTAAGTCAGAGACAACTGCCAACACCAAGAAGTATCTCTGCAGAGTCAGATGTCCATGCCTGCAGGTGTGACCATAAAGGTTGAGAAGGGCATCTGGCAAGATAGACTGAGGGCAGAGGGAGGACCTGCAGGCCCCAGGGCCTCCCCTCACCACATCCCTGGGTGGCCTGCCTTTCTTTCTTTCTTTCTTTCTTTTTTTCTTTCTCTCTCTCTCTTTCTTTCTTCCTCTTAATGTTTGTATTCACAAATACATGAGTGCTTGTAAACAGGGATATGTGTACATGCCCATGTGTGTGTAGATGCACGCTTGTGTGCATGACTGTGAGGCCACAGGACCACCTCGGATGTCCTCATCAAAACCCTGTCCACCTCCTTTCAGACAGGGTCTCTTGTTGGCCTGGGGCTCACCAGTTTGATGAGACTAGCTGGTCAGGGTCCTGCATAGGAGGTGACACCACACACACTCCCAGTCCATTCTCTGGTATGGGCCCTAGGAGGATCTGATGCCACCATACAAAAATGGAACACCAGTCATCTCTGGCCCACAAAGACCTTCCATCAACTGTTGATGCTGGGTGTGCTTGGGGACAGCTAACTACCCTGCAGTAACATACCCAGGGTGATGGCTAATCTTGTCAACTTAACAGGATTGAAAATCACCTTTGAAACAAGCCTCTGGGCATGTCTGAGAGAGCTTCTAAATTGGGTTGATTGAGGTCAGAAGGCCCGCTCTAACTGTGGAAAGAAGGACACCATGGCTGAGGGTCCTGGATGGAACACAAAGGAGAAAGTGAGCTGAGCACCAGCATTCATCTCCCTCTGCTTCCGGACTGTGAGTGAGATGTGAGCAGCCACCTCAGGCTCCTGCCGGCATGCCTTCCCACCGTGATGGACTGCACCCTGGAACCATGAGGCAACATAAACACCCCCTTCCTGGCTTCAGTAGCTTCTATCAGCTGTTTTGTCAGTCCTGAGAAAAGTAACAAAGAGCCCTGGTTCATAGGAATCACCAAGACACAGGAACAGCCACTCCTGCCCTTCCACACACAGCCTCCCCGCTCCTCACACACAGTTCAGAACAGCTCAGGGAGAGGGGTGATGGTGCTTTCCAGCCCTGCTCCAACAGCACCCAGACAGTGATTTCACAAAAGAGGTTTATTTAGCGGGAACCAAATAAGAGGAAGAGGAGGGAGCACTGGGCAGAAGCCCATGAGGACTCTTGTATTCCAAGGTCAGTGTTGTACCTGAGGGAGCTAAGTGGGAGGCTCAGCTGGTAAAGAACCTGCCACATATGTGGGAGGGCCTGAGATCAGGTATCCAACACCTATGTAAAAGGGAGTGTGGAAGCCTACAACTGTAATCCCAGCGCTAGGGGGAGCAGACAGGAGGATCCCTGAAACCGAGGTCCAGCCAGCACACCCCCACACCCCAACCAGTGTGCTCCAGGGAGGCCCTGTCTCAGAAAACAGGTGGAGGTGATTGAGAACCACACCTGGCATTGATCTTGAGCCTCCACGTACACACACCTCAACACACACACACACACACACACACACACACACAGATACATGGACACATACACGGACACACAGTGGCACACACAGAGATGGCATCTAAATGAACTCAGCCAGGCTGGATCCTCCTAGCTTGGCATATGTGGTATTGAAGCGACTGCCAGCCAGGAGCAAGTGGTTATCAACACTCAGCATTATCTTCTGCAAGCAAGGGGCAGAGACACAAGGACGACAGGCTATGACTAATTTCAAAGGTGAGGGGTGACGAGAAGACCCTAGGAATGTGTCAAATTGGGCCAGGTTGGCACCTGCTGCCTCAGTGTCTTCCTGCCCATCCACCCACAGCCAGCAGCCCTGGCATTATCATACTGGGGTCACTTTTAGTTCCTTTTAGTCTGTTTCTAGTCTCCCTAAATAGAGAAACTACAGAGGAAAGAAATTATTGCATCTAAGTCTGTCTTGAAGAACCAGTGAGTTTATTCTGTTCACTTCCAGGCACATGAATGATTCAGGTGGCTGCATCACCAAGAGCCACCCAGAATGTGTGACACTCAGGGATACTGCAGCCCTGGGGTCCTCCTCAAAACTTGTAGCTACATGAAAGAGTCTTATCTCCCTACCCCAGCAAGAGTTTCCAGCTTCTAGAACCTGGGGAAGGGCCTATTGAGTCTTGGAAGTTTCCAGATCCTTCCTCCAACCTCCAGGAGGGACTGCTTCATTCCAAAGGTAACAGCTACTTAATGAGGTCACAGGATGATCTGAGCTCAGTTAAGGATGAACAAACTCAAACAGTAGAGAGTGGCCCAGCTCACGCACTGCTGGCTGGGGTAGAGCGCTCAGCAGAGTCCTTTGTGAAACAGGGGCAGGCACAGAAATCTGGCCTGTCTCTCCACAGCAGAATTCCTCCCAGAAGAATTAGCACTGTGCCGACCCAGCCTAGGTAGACTGAGGCTCCCATGTCTGTTTCCTGACTGGAGCCCAAAAATGGGTTGGAGAAACCTTGAATGAAGTTGTAGGTTGCCAAAGACATAGACACCATCATCATCAGGCCAGAACCCAGGAAGATGCCACACACCCACCTGTCCATCCCGAGCCACAATGCTGAAATAAACAGTCCTTCCAGGATCCGAAAACAAAAGAGCAGCAAAGACAAGACCAACAGAGGCAGCAAACCCAGTGAAGTTGTGACGATGCAGATGATGAGAGCCCGAGACACCTGCAGACCCACTGGCACTGCTACCAGAGAGTGGTATGCCGCGCACTGCATGTGGGCCAGTCCTTCAACGTGGCACATGCTCCACAGGCCCTCCCACATGCTGACAGCTTGGCCCATCTCATCTTCTGGAAATTTCATCACCCTCCACATGGGCAGCCCACAGCTCATCACGGTGCTCAGCCAGCCCAGCACGACCACAATGATGCTGACCAATATCATTTTCAGGAAAGCCGTGCCTCAGAGTCTCTTGGATTCAGGATGGGAAGATGGTGGGGACCAGGCTCAGGATCTGCAGGATTCCAAGGCCTGAAGATGGACTTTGGAGTTGTTCACAGAAAGCCTCCTCTTGTGATGCTGAGACTCAGTCAGTCAGTCAGATACATCACCAACAGTAACAAGTATCTCTGCAGAGTCAGAAGTCCTTGCCAGCAGGTGTGACCACAGTGGTTGACATGGGCATCTGGTTAGATAGATTGAGTGTGTGAGGAGCTGGCAGAGGGTGGGGCAGAGGGAGGAGCTGCAGGCCCCAGGGCTCCCCTCATCACATCCCTGGGTGGTCTTTCTTTCTTTCTTTCTTTTTTCTTCCTTCCTTCCCTCCTTTTTTAGTGTTTGTATGTGAAGATATATGAGTGCTTGTAAACGGGTATGTGTACATGCTCATGTGTATGTTCATGCACCATATGTGTGACCTCTGATGTCATACTCAAAACCCTGTCTATATTGAAAAAATATCTATAAGGAAAGGTGGACCTGGTAATGTACCCTGCACATTACACGTCACTGGGGAGGCAGAGATGGAAGGATAATACTGATCCTGACTCTCAAAATAAGGAGGTGGGGCTGGAGAGATGGCTCAGCACTTAAGAACACTGCTGCTCTTCCAGAGGACCCAAGTTCAGTACTAGAACGCATATGGTGGCTGACAACCATCCTTAACACCGTTTCCAGGTGATCTGACACCTTCTTCTGGTCTCCACCCACACTGTACATACATGGTACGCTTATATCCATGCAGGCAAAACACTCAGACAGATAAAGTAAAAATAAACTTTAAAAGAATTCTTTGATTAATTAATTTATTTTTTTAAATATTTTATTTATTATTTTTATTTTATGTGTATGAGTGTTATGTCTGCATGTAGGTAAGTGCACCCATGTCGTGCAATGCCCACAGAGGTTGGAAGAGGCTATCAGATCCCCTGGGACTGGAGCTACGGACAGTTGTTAGCTGCCATGTGGGTGCTGGGATTTGAACCCAGGTTCTATAAGAAAAGTCAGTGTTCTTAACCACTGAGCCATCTCTCCAGTGCCTATTTATCTTTATTTTATGTGTCTGAGTGTTTTGCCTACTCAGATGAAACTGCAACACCATGTCGTGCAAAGCCTGCACAAACCAGAAGAGGGCATTGAATCCCCTGGAACTGAGGAAACCAACAGTTGCTAGCAACAGTGTAGGTGCTGGGAATCGAACCTGGTGGCACACACCTCTAGTCCCAGCACTCTAAAGACAGAGTCAGACAGAGCTCTTGCCAGATCCAGACAAGCCTGATCTATATAGTGAGTTTCAGGCCAATTAGGGCTGCAGGGAGGCCTTTGCACCAAAACCAACAAACATAAAACAAAAAGGCTGGGAATGGAGCTGGGTTGGTAGAATCCTCCCTAGCCTGTACACAGGGCCCGGGTTCCTTCCCCAGCACCACATAAACCAGGAGTTGTGGTGCACGTCTGTATTTTTAGCACTTGGGAGGAGGAAGCAGGAGGACCAGGAATTCAAAGTCATCCTCTGCTATATAGCAAGTTACAGGGCAGCCTGAGCTAAATGAGAGCTTCTCTCAAAAAATAAGAATAAATAAATTTTTGTGTTTTTTAGTCTTTTTTGAGACAGGGTCTCCCTGTAGCCCCAGCTGTCCTAGAACTCACTATGTAGACCAGGCTGGCCTTGAACTCACAGAGATCTGCCTGCCTCTGCCTCCAGAGTGCTGGGATTAAAGGCATGCATCTCCACACCCGGCAAGAATCAATAAATTTTTAAAAAGGAGAGAGAGAGACAGAGAGAGACACAGAGAGAGAGAG